ACACGATCGCGAAGCTTCTTCTCCCCGATCGAAAGAGGGAGGATCGACTCCCTTTCGATGACTTTTGACATTTAACCCTTTGCTCTCCAACGGTGACTCTCGATCACCACTCGAGTTAATGAATTACAGTAACTCCAGAAGTCACTCTCCACCACCATTTGAATTGATAAGGCAAATATTATTATAATATATTATAGTAATTATATATATATAATATTATATATAGTATTATTATAATATAATATAATATTATAATAATATTAATCCTTTGTTTTCCAACAGTGAGTCTCAGTCACTACATTTGGATCGATGAGACAAATATTATTATAATATATTATAGTAATTATACATTATAATATATTGTATATATTATATATATAATATATATAGTATATATATATATATACTATATATATTATATATGTATTATATATATTATTCTATATATAATATATTATTATATATAATTACTATAATATATTATAATAATACTATATATAATATACTATAATATATATTATATATGTATTATATATATTATTCTATATATAATATATTATTATATATAATTACTATAATATATTATAATAATACTATATATAATATACTATAATATATATTATATATGTATTATATATATTATTCTATATATAATATATTATTATATATAATTACTATAATATATTATAATAATACTATATATAATATACTATAATATATATTATATATGTATTATATATATTATTCTATATATAATATATTATTATATATAATTACTATAATATATTATAATAATACTATATATAATATACTATAATATATATTATATATGTATTATATATATTATTCTATATATAATATATTATTATATATAATTACTATAATATATTATAATAATACTATATATAATATACTATAATATATATTATATATGTATTATATATATTATTCTATATATAATATATTATTATATATAATTACTATAATATATTATAATAATACTATATATAATATACTATAATATATATTATATATGTATTATATATATTATTCTATATATAATATATTATTATATATAATTACTATAATATATTATAATAATACTATATATAATATACTATAATATATATTATATATGTATTATATATATTATTCTATATATAATATATTATTATATATAATTACTATAATATATTATAATAATACTATATATAATATACTATAATATATATTATATATGTATTATATATATTATTCTATATATAATATATTATTATATATAATTACTATAATATATTATAATAATACTATATATAATATACTATAATATATATTATATATGTATTATATATATTATTCTATATATAATATATTATTATATATAATTACTATAATATATTATAATAATACTATATATAATATACTATAATATATATTATATATGTATTATATATATTATTCTATATATAATATATTATTATATATAATTACTATAATATATTATAATAATACTATATATAATATACTATAATATATATTATATATGTATTATATATATTATTCTATATATAATATATTATTATATATAATTACTATAATATATTATAATAATACTATATATAATATACTATAATATATATTATATATGTATTATATATATTATTCTATATATAATATATTATTATATATAATTACTATAATATATTATAATAATACTATATATAATATACTATAATATATATTATATATGTATTATATATATTATTCTATATATAATATATTATTATATATAATTACTATAATATATTATAATAATACTATATATAATATACTATAATATATATTATATATGTATTATATATATTATTCTATATATAATATATTATTATATATAATTACTATAATATATTATAATAATACTATATATAATATACTATAATATATATTATATATATATATTATATATGTATTATATATATTATATATATTATATATATTAAAATAATACATTGTTAAATGGATAGATTTTTTATCTCCAATTAGTCCGTGATCATGAGTAGAATTTTCGGTGTTAGTCTGAGTTTGATAGTTTATGTTTGATTTTTTTAGAATATATCGCTTCCTAACCTCTTTATTATCTTATGGTAATCTTATGAGATCACTGAACGCATCGAACGCACGGAACGCGCGAATCTGAGCCTGGAGTGCAAAGGGTTAATCGACGGAGGAGACGCTTTCCGACTCGACTCGGAAAATCGGGGATCGATTTCTACTCGTCGAGATGGACGATCGAGAAAAGGGTGTCGTCTCGAGGACGCTGTAAAGTAAAGTGCGTGCGTGCGTGCGGTCGCA